GAGGGAAGGTCACAGGGAGGAGGATCACAGAGAAGGATCACAGACAGGGAGGGTCACAGGGGAGAGGATCACAGGGAGGAGAATCATAGAGCATCACAGAAAGGGAAGGTCACAGGGGAGAGGATCAGAGAGACAACTCATAGACAGGGAGGGTCACAGGGTAGGTGGGGAATAAGGGAGGGGGTCACAGGGGAGGAGGCTGACAGGGGAGGGTCACAGAGGAGGGAGTGACAGAAGAAGGGGATGATAGGAGGGGGTGTCATGGGGAGGGGCTCAGAGGGTGGGATCTCAGGAGAGGGCATCCCGTCCATCCATCACAGGGGAGGAAGTCAACTGGGGAGGAGGGTGAGAGGGAAGGGGTCATAGGGGAGAGTGTCCTACTGGCTAACAGGGTCATAAGAGAGGGAAGGTCATAGAGGAGGAAGGGTCTCAGATAAGGGGAGTTTGTAGGGAGTTATAGGGGAGGGATTGTCAGGGGGAAGGAGCCCACCAAAACCTCTAACCCCAGCAAATAGCTCCAGAGTCCCAGCATGCTTTGGGAGCCATTTCCTGGGCAGAGAGTCCCTGCACTCCCTCTTGGTCTTTTCCATTAAGAGGCATTCACCAAGCAAGACACTGGAGAGCTACCCAGTGGCTCCTTCACTGGAAAGAGAACTCTAGACGTCCTCAAGGGCTCCAGGTCTCTTCTCCTGTCCTGCCCTGTCCAGGAAGGGGCAGCGGCTCTGAGGGCTCCGGGTCAGAGCCCAACCATGGCCTTGTTTCCCAGCATCCCAGGGTCCAGCACTTGTTCTTTCTCTTCAGACAAATGCCTGGTCAGGGTGACCACATGCTGACCCCAGTTCTTATGGAAAAAGCACCTTTCCATGTGACACCAGGTGTCCCCAAGATCTTCACCTGGAACCTCCCATCATTCTTCAGGTAGGATTTTGAGAATGTTGTAGCTGTGCCCTAAGCAGCAGGAGTGAATATTTCTCTCCACTTGAGGTGAACCAGGGCCCAAACTGTGAGCTTCCTGCCCCCTGGGGGTTTGATATCAATCGTCTCAATGGCCTTACCTTCATCTGAGCCCCAGGCTGCCTTGGGTCTACAGTGGCTATCTGTCAGATGGGGGCACTGGTCTTCTATCCACCATGGAGTGTCTTGAGTACTAGACACTCCTGCCAGTGGGCAGTTACTGAGGCTGTTAATGTCCATTTGTGTCAGCCATATTGCATAAGTTCAAGTAAAACCCCCTATACATCAGCAGTAAAGCCAACAGCTCCCCCATCCCTAAATTATGTAGTGTGCCTCAGTGGGCCACAATGCCCCTTATCAGCCACCTTGGTCCTGATGAGATGTTGGACCTTGCACCTGGGTCTGGTGACCTACTGAGTGTGGCCAGTAAAGTTTCTCTTAGCTGGAGCCTCCCTGGAGAACAATGAGAAAGATCCTGAACTACACCTGGATTCAACAGGACATTGTGCTGAGATTGACTAGCAATGTCTGCCCTGGGTGTAGGAAGGGTTAAAGGGAGGCACCTGAGTCTGATAACCTCCCGAGGGAAGGTCAAGAAAGTTCTTTTCTTAGCTTGGCAGTTGCCTGGGGCACTATGAGAAAGATCCTGAGCTGTGAATTCAACAGGACTGTGTGCTGGGCTTGACTAGTATTGTATGTCATGGGTGCAGGAATGACTAAAGGAGAGGCCTGAGTCTAGCATTTGCCATTTCAAACCTGGTGTTTCCCCCACTGCAATGACACATGAATTTGGTCAGACTTTAGCTGGAAGGCCCCCTGATTTTGTTTAGAGTTTGAGTGTTCCAATGTAGATCCAAGGTTGTTTCCTAGAACTAGCTACTTAATACTTGTGGCTAGCTAAGTTTAAATTAATTAAAATTAAATGAAATGAAAATTTTTAGCTTTTCAGTTATGGGAACTACATTTCAAGAACTCATTAGCCCTGTGCAGTTAGTGGCTGCCCTCTTGGGTGGAACTGGTGTAGATGTTCATGACATCACAGAAAGTTCTGTTGAGAAAGATCCTGAGCTATATCTAGAGTCAACTGAAGAGAGTGCTGGGATTGACTAGCCACGTCTGCAATGGGTGCAGGAAGGGTTCTTATGCTGCTCCTCTGAGTCTCACCAAGTAGTGCCTGTCTATGGACATTGGCAATGCCTGGGGACAGTTGTGGGTGTCACCCTGGAGAGGAGGTGCCATGTGTGCCTTGTGGGCTGAGGCCAGAAATGCCTATAAACACCCAGAGTGCCAATAAACACTCTACAGCAACCCACAGCACCTGTGACAGTCATCCAGTCCCAAATTCAATAGTGTCAAGGTGGGCACCCATTGAGAGCCTGCGTTGAAGAATGAGGCATGATGGGAAAATGGGGGCAGAATCATCTTTGCTTAGAACAGCTAATAGATGACATAGGAAGAAATGAGAAAGTGGGTCACCCACTGCTGACGGGAAGGCCAGAGGAACTGCCAGTACCCTAACCTCTGTGGTGCTGTTTCCCACTCTGTAGGACTGTGTCCCTGTCACCCCACCAACAGCCAGTGGATCAAAGATGGCAATGACCTTGAATAGCTTTTGGTGTCTACCTGACACTGTGAAATGTCTTGGGATTGGATATCTTAACCCAAATCAGTCACGGGATCAGTGGGGTGTCCCACAGAAAAGTATATGTCTCCCCTTCCTTTCATGTGTGTGATCTTAGGTCCCTGAAGCCCCCGATCCCACGTTCTGAACTGTGAACTAGGCTCACCCCTCTCACCAAGTCCCGAGGAATATGGAGGGTGACTGAGGCATCTGATCCCACAAGGTGACGTGTGTCTCTGCACACCACAGCTCTCCCAGCTGCCCTCTGTGAAACCAAAGCCCTAACCCCGACTGGTTCCCCCAAAACAGCTGAAAATGTGCTTGGGTTTGGTGAGTAAGAGGAACCCTGAGCCTAACCATGTCTGCCACCCAGCTGGCTGTGCACTGGGTAAATGTGTGTGGTCAGTTCCTGAGACCCTTGCCTCTGCTGTCAGAAGCCACAGATTTTTGGTGTTTAAAGGGAAAAGCAGGACAGAAGAGAAGTTGTAGCGCTGGGAGGGCAGGATGCAGAAGAAGCTGACCGTGCCTCTGCAGCCTTCAGAGTATGTGGAGCCACTGTGTGTGTGTGTGTGTGTGTGTGTGTGTGTGTGTGTGGTCAATGTCTGTGGTGGACAGATCTGGCTGGTGGCTGTTAGTCCTGAAAGAGAGACTGGGAGCACAGCCCACCCTCAGGTATTGGAAGATAAACCAAAGTCCCCATGGGAGGGTCATGGCCAAGGTCACAGGGTCATCACACCAGGCACAGTGGCTCAAGGTGACCAGGTCCAAGTGAAAGAGGAAACAAATGCTCAGCATTGTGGACATTTGGCTTCCTACCTCCCACGCCTGTCCTCCCTCCTCCCACGCCTGTCCTCCCGCCTCCCATGCCTGTCCTCCCGCCTCCCACGCCTGTCTTCCCGCCTCCCACGCCTGTCCTCCCACCTCCCACTCCTGTCCTCCCTCCTTCCACACCTGCCCTCCCTCCTTCCACTCCTGTCCACCCTCCTCCCACTATTTCTCTCTCCCTCTTCCCCGCTCTTCTCTTCCTCTTTCTCTTCCTTTCTCTAGTCCTCCTCTCCTCCCCCTCCCCCTCCCCCTTCCCCCTCTTTCCCGTCCTCCTCCCGCTCCTCTTTCTCCTCTAGCTTCTGCTCTCTGGAACTTGCTTAGTTCCTCATCTGACACAGCCCTCTCCAGGACACACTGCCATCCCCCTCCCCCCGCCCAGACACCGGAGAAGACAGCTTAGATCAGTAGTACCCTCTGGTCCTCCAAGAATCCAAGTGGCTCCCACAGCCTCAGGAGCAAGTGTCCTAATGGGGCAGGTGTCTTTGGGAAAGAATACATAAAGTAAGAACCAAGAGCTCCAGGCCCTGTGCAGGGAGCTGAGGCCAGGCTGGCTCTGGGACCCTCCTAGGAGGGCCCTGAGCTCCCCTCACTATCCCAGGGGACAGTGGCAGGGAAGCAGTCACTGGAGACTTGCAGCTTTGAGGCCTCTGAAACTACCATGAAGTTTCCACCATCCCTGGGGCTGCTGGGACCTGTGGATCTTCTCCATTCACAGAGGAACTGGGCATTCGTGTGTCCTGCAAACATCTCTCCTCAAGAAAGTGACACAAGACACCAAATCCTCCAGTCTTGGGCCACCAGCCCCTCCCTCACTGCACACACAAGCTTCATTTGAAACCAAAACCCAGGAAAGCTCAGAACCAGGCTGAACACCGAAAGGGGGAGCTGTGTTCTGAGCAACCACGGAAAACCAGCAAAGTCTAGTCACTGCAACTGAAAAAAATATGTAGACATAACAATTATATATACATGTATATACAGTTTTTATTAATGGTAATATTAATTGATGATTAATAATTGTATTAAAATTATATACATGTATATATACAGTATTATAGCCACATCTACAGAAAACTGGCATCAGCCAGTTCAGATTCTGCAATAGAGGCTAACTGGGAATTCAACATATTTTTTTTTCAATGATAGACATTGGGCCGGCAAGATGGCTCATCAGACAAAGGTGATTGCTACCAAGCCTGCTGACCTGAGTTCAATCTCCAGGACCCACACAGTGGAAGTATAGAATGAGCTCACACAAGCTGCCACTGACCCACACAACGCATGCTGTTGAATGCCTGCCTATTCACAAATAATAAAAGGAAAAATATTTCTTTTTTAATGATTGACGAACAAGTCCTAACAAAATAAGCTTAAAGTGTGTCCCCTTGGCCTGGCATAGGCTTCTAAAATCTTTCCGCCAAGTTGTCTTGATTTAGTAGTGAGCCACACAGTCCACAGAGACAGAAAAGGCCTCAGATGTGAACAGCACCAGGAAGGCCAAAAATAGACCCACCACCCAAGGCCTCACATGGCAGCTTCCAGACACTGAACAGTGCTACCTGCTCACAGGTGCCTGGCACGGAACCCAGCTTGACAGTACCTGGTGGCCCCTGGTCTTGGAAATGCTCCTGTCCAGAAGGTCTTCCCAGGCGGTGGTAAAGGAACCCCAGCAAGCATGGAGGGCAGGGCAGGTGGCAAGGAGCAGTGTCAGCCCTCCGCACCCTCTCAGGCACCCCTCCCCTCGGCTCCTCCCCCAGTGTGACAGCAGCAGCTGAGTCCCAGTCATTTCCAAAATTAGCCCGTGAGCTCCAGGTCTGGCCAGGAGACGGCAGCCGGGGTGGTGGCCGCTGAACAGGCTGCGGACAGCATGGACATATTTGGTGACCAGGAGCAGAAGAAGGGACAGCTCCGACAAGCACATTCTTAGCCATCATCTCTGTCCCAGGGCAGGTCACACACACAGGCTGAAGCTTCTGTCATTCCACAGAGCAGAGGCTGCAGGAGTCAGCCAGAAAGAGGGCAGCTCTCACTCCACAGTTGGTGGACTTTACCTCGGGCCCAGGCTGGCGGCTCTTCGTAAACATGAAGCAGTCAACAAACTAAGGCTCAGGTAGTGCGTCTCCCACAGTGGGCATCCAGCTGAGGGCTTACTCAACTCATTTAGTATTTCCAACAGCCCCAGGAGGAAGAATTTTCTCACACTGACATTTTACAGATGAAGAAACTGAGGCACAAAAGTTAACCAACTTGGGACTGGCAAGAAGATTCAGTGAGTAAAAGTGCTTGCTGCAAACCATGTGACAGGAGTTCATTCTCCAGAACCCACATGGTGGAAGGAGAGAACTGACTCCTTCAGATTGTCCTCTGACCTCCACCCGTAGACCCTGATGTATGCCCCCACACACAAATAGATTAACAAATGTAATAAAAATGTTAACCTAACCAACTTGCCCAAGGAAAGGGAAAGCCAGAACTGGAATCCAGACAGTACCAAGTCTAGAAGGTGCCATCTCAGTCACCATGCTAACTCAGTCGCTGCCAAACATGCTTGTCCCTAGGCTGCAATGGAGCTCAGTGCAGAGCAAGTGCTTAGCCTGTATAAGGCCCTGACTTTCATCTCCAGCACTTAAAACATGTGCTCCTCCCATGGTGTGCCAGGAGACCAACTGGTATGTCAGCGAGGAAGCACAGTGGGCGGTGGGCGGGGTAGCACAGCTAGCCAGAGATCCAGTAAGAATTCCAATCCAGGCCACTGATTCTAAGACTCAAGAGTTCAAATTCAACAGGTACTTCTGTGAATATTTCCACCATCACAACACGCTCTTGAAAGTAATGTGTGTATATGCATGTGCACATGTGAGTATATATGTGTGTACATGTGTATCTGTGTGCATGTGTATGTGTATATGTGTGCATGTGTGTTTATGCCTACATGTGCACATGTGTGTGAGTCTGTATATTTTCATGCGTGTATATGTGTGCACATTTATGTATGTGTGTTATGTGTGTTAGTACATATGTGTGTGCATATTTGTGTTTATATGCACACGTGTGTATGCATGTGCATATGCATACATGTATGTGTCTATGTGTGTGAGTGTGTGCATGTTTCTATATATGTATATGCCTGAGCTTGTGTCTCTTCATATGTATGTGCAAGTGTCTGTATTTGTGATGTGCATGTATGTTCATGTGTGTATGTATGTTACATGCATGCATACATGTGTGCATGAGTATGTGCCTCTGTGTGGGCATGTTTGTGTGTGCATGTGTATGTGTTTATCTGCATGTGTGTAATGTGTATGCATATATGTGTGGGTATATATATATATATATGAGTATGTGTGTATATGTGTGTATGTATATGCATGTGTATGTGTTTATCTGCATGTGTTTGTGCCCCGGCCCATGGGGTCAGCAACGTGGGGTACCTGGAATGGGGAGTGGGGATTTGGATGGGGCAAGAGACAAGAGGAATGGAGACAAGACAGGATTCTCATCAAGTCTCGTTTATTGCAGCTCAAGCATGAGGTTAAATAGAGAATGAAAACAAAGGAGCAAAGAGTGAATAATCATATCAGCCAGAACACAGGGGCCCAGATGGACCCTAAGGGAGGAATCTGAAAGGAGAACAAGGCTGCGGGCCAAGGCCACGGGCTCTGTCCTGTGCCCGCAGGAGAATGGTGGGCAGAATGGAAAGTCACCAACTCAGGTCTGTCAGCAGTTTTAAGAAATGGCTGAGTCTCAGGCTCCCAACAGGTCCCCCTTTTTTACTTTATAGAGTTTAGGGATCGAAGGTTGCTAGACCCTTAGGGAACTGCACCTGTCTTAGGTTGGAGTATCCTTCCCCAAGGGCTTACCCGTCATTGGATAAGGTAGTAGCATTAGACTACCCTCCTGTCTTAGGTTGCCATCAAGGGGGGATTCTCATGTACCCATCATTGACTGTCCAGTTCATCTCTCAAGGGGGATGGCTAGTAGCGCCATCATAGCAACACCTCCCTTCGCATTCTTGATCCAAAATATCAAGGCGATGATAATGGACCTGAATTGGTTTTGCCTGAAATGCCTCCAACTGCTGTTTAATAAAGACCGTAAGCCTTTTTACTAACAGTGGCCCTAGTGTAAGAAGGAGCAGGAAGAAGAGGAGGGATGGAATCACGGAGGGGATCCAAGAAAGGAAGGGGGAATCCAACCATCTAGAAGGATTTTGATAAAAATGATGCAATTTGTAACTGATGGTCTGCAGGGTCTGTATATTTTGTTCTACTAATCCCGATTCATTGACGTAGAAACAGCACTCCTCCTGTAAGAAAAGGCAAGTTCCCCCTTTTTCAGCAGTGATAAGATCAAGGGCCCTACGATTTTGAAGGGCAACTTGTGCCAGGGAAGTCAGCTGGCGTTGCAAGGATGCAAGGCTACTGGCCGTGGATTTTATAACTTGTTGTAGTTGGGAGTTGAATTTCTTTGCAGTGTAGAGAGTATGTCCCATAGACCTGGAAAA